TTATTATTATTATTATTATTATTAGTACGTCGGGTATACTCGCGCTGCGACCTAAAAGATCTATTGTGCTAAACCCTGATTGTGGTCACTCCAACCTTAGGCTATTCAAGAAATTAAGCACATTGGAGGGTGCCGTGTTCCAAATCTTGGATGGAGAAGACAATCGTTCCCCAAGGTGCATCAGTCTGCTATTCATGATACGCGGGCAGTCACACAGAATGTGCTCCGAAGTTTCCTCCGCCAGCCCACAGAACCTGCAGTCCGTCTCTACAGAAAGCCCCATTTTGTTTAGATGGTACCTTAACTTGCAGTGTCCTGTCAGGTAGCCTGTAATGGTCCTAAGACCCTCCCGGCTGAGTTCACGGAGTCTTTCTGAGTTCCTCTTGGAAGGAGTTATGAATTTCTTTGATTGTCTCATTCCCTTTGACTTACGCCAGTGGGCAGCAATCTGAGATTCCTCCCAACTCCTAAGTAGTTCTGCAGTGTATCCTATAGATGTACCACAGAAAGGCTCGGGACCATGCATTCGCGTTTGGGCCCCACGTTTTGCGAGATAGTCAGCCCTTTCGTTGCCTTCAAACCCTTCATGCCCAGGGACCCACCACAGCGTAACTCTGTTATGGGCTCCTAGGCTATTAAGAAGAGTTTTACAACTGTCCACAAGCCTAGATGTCGTTTTAAATGAGTCTAAGGCCCTTAGTGCTGCCTGGCTATCCGACATAATATTTATTCTGGCCCCGTTTGTCCTTCTCCGAAGACATTCTCGAACACAGACTTCGATTGCGAAGATCTCCGCCTGGAATATGGTTGGGTATGAGCCCATTGGCAGACTTTTCTGGAACCTTGGTCCAAGCACGCCTGCCCCAGTACTCCCGTCTTCCATCTTTGATCCATCGGTATACCATACTTGGGACCCTTTGTCAATCATAGATATTATCGCTTTACAGCAGTCCCTTTCAGGAATTCTGACCTTGTAGGGCTTATCAAAGGATAATTTCGGTAGCATGATATCTGTGAGCTTGATAGCGGGATCATCCAGAAAAGGCTTGAGAACCTCCAAGTGACCCCAAAGATCTCCACTCTTCATGCTGATTACATTGGGCAGCCGTATGGAGCTCCAGCAGGCCTCCTTTTCTATCAGAATAGATAGAGGAGGAATGCCTGTAATTATACCGAGGGCATCCGTTGGACAGGTGCGCATAGCTCCTGTGATGGCCACACAGATCAAGCGGTGTAGCTTGCTCAAGGTGGCACACGCACTTGCTTTCTTTGCTTTTGGCCACCAGGCCAGTGCCGCATATGTGACAACAGGTTTCACGACCGTATTGAAAGACCAATACGTTAGTTTGGGTGATATTCCCCAAGTTTTACCATGGAGTCTCTGGCAGGCATAAAACGCCCTTGTAGCCTTGTTGGTAATGTTAAGGAGATGTGAGTTCCAATTGAGCCTTTTGTCCAGAGTTACCCCTAGATACTTCGCCTCTTCTGAGAACTCAATTTCTGTCCCTGCCAAAGTGGGTTTAGTCAAGTTGACTTTCCTTCTATTGGTAAATGGGACAACAGTGGACTTCTGCGGGTTTATTGACAATCCCTTTGAAGCACACCAGTCTTCCGTTAGACTGAGCGCAGCTTGCAATCTGGAACAAATTGTGTCCTCATGCCAGCCGACAACGTAGATGACTAGGTCATCTGCATATCCATATGCCTTGAATCCATTGCCATTTAGCTTTTCAAGAAGTTCGTCAACAACCAGTGTCCAAAGTAGGGGCGATAAGACTCCCCCTTGAGGACAGCCACGGGTGGCATTTACTGCTTGCCTGTCGTCTCCTAGTTCCGCTATTATGGTTCTGGACCTCAACATGCTTATGATCCAATCCGTTAGAAGGACAGGAATATCCTTTCGTATCATAGCTGTCGATATTGCTTCATAAGACGTATTGTCGAAAGCACCTGATATGTCCAGGAATGCACACAAAGCTATCTGTTTATACCGCAATGCCTTTTCAATGACTTGAGTTAGGCTATGTATTGCAGTAATAGTAGATTTGCCTGCCTGGTATGCGTGCTGACTCTGACACAGAGGCGTATTCCTGAGAAAGTTATCCCTTATGTGAAAGTCAATAAGTTTTTCTAGTGTCTTTACTAGAAAGGAACTGAGGCTAATTGGCCTGTACGCCTTTGAGAGTTGTGCTGAGTTTTTCCCCACTTTGGGTATAAAGACCACTTTGACTTCACTCCATGTTGTTGGTATGTGAGCAAGTAAGAGACTTGCTCTCAGCAATCTGACTAGTGGCCCTGATATTAAGCCCAAGCTCTGCTGCAGCAGGCATGGGAAGATACCATCTGGACCAGGGGATTTATATGCACTAAAGGTTGAAATGGCCCACGATATCTTTTCCACACTGACGATTCTTCCTGCTAGGCCTCTAGTCCTCCTGTTTGCGCACACAGCGTTCGCCGTGTTTGTCGAAGGACATGTGCCTTGTGGAATACATCCCGGGAAGTGGGTTTCTAGCAGAAGCCTGCTGGTTTCTTCCGGGGTGCCAGTGTAGGTACCATCTGGTCTTTTCAAAGTGCATAGGACTTTCGGATGATCTAGTTTAAGGGCCTTCTGAAGGCGATGCACCTCTGGAAGAGAGGAAATACTTCCGCAGTGCTCACGCCACGTAGCCCTTTTAGACCTTCTGAGCTCACAGTTGTAAGCGGTTAGGGCTGACCTGTAGGCGGTCCAGTCACCTGTTGACTTTGCCCTATTGAAAAGTTTCCTGGCTCTTTTCCTTAGTTTTCCGAGAGAATCGCTCCACCAAGGGACATCCCTTTGAGACTTCTTGGTTCTCAGTGGGCAGCTCTCTTCAAAACCTTGTTTAAGAACATCTTGGAACTTTCTCGCCTCGTCCTCAAGTTCATAGACGGATGAAATTGGTGCGGTAGAACCATTCACTTCCCGCTCTATGTGGAGGCGAAAGAGTTCCCAGTTTGTTTTCTGGGATTTCTGTAAACATGGTTTGTTACTCTTTGGGCTTCTATATCGAATCGAATATGCCGGTGGTCCGACATAGATACCTCATTTGAGACATGCCAGTTTGAGATAAAGGTCGACAAGCTAGTTGAGGAAATTGTCAAGTCTAGAACCTCCCCTCTTATAGCATTGACAAAGGTCGGCTCATTACCCCGGTTAAGAATAAATAAGTTGTTCTTAGTGATAAATTCAAGAAATGACTCACCTCTAGAATTGGTGTCCGAGCTGCCCCAAACACAGTGATGGGCATTGGCATCACAGCTCATTATTAGTTTCAGCTTTCTCCTTCTGCAGTACTCCTCTAGGGCTATTACTTCCCTTGTGGGCATCTCACAGCTGTCGCCTGGGAGGTAAGCTGAAGCGAGAACGACCTCTTGTTCTCCCATTTGAGTGGGCACTTTAGTCCATACAGCAGCTAAGTCCTGTTGTGTCAACTCTGAAATGGGAACAAAAGTCATGTTATTACGTAGTAATATGGCCGCTCTGGGCCTGCAGTGTGTGGTATCGTAGATTATCTTACCATCACAGTCGTTTAGGCCTTTAATAGCCCCGGCGAAAACCCACGGTTCTTGGATGAATGCGACATCCAAGAGTTCTGTTTTGAACCTCCTGCATAAGACGTCAGAGGCCGCCTTTGCATGATGGAGGTTCACTTGCAGGCACTTGATGTGCCTAGGCCTATCGCTTGGGGGGTTTGCCATTTTTCGGCCTTGAAGCCCGCTTGGCCATCTTTTTCCCCCTATTGGTGGCCATCAGGGTCTTCTCCTCCATTGAAATCTCCCCTCGACCTTGTCTCCGATTCGCATTTAGCGGAGGACGGAAGGGATTTTGGGCGAAAAGAGCCTTTGATCTCTCTGGGCTGGAAGGTACCCTCTTTTCCGTGCCAAGAGTGTCTTCTGAGCAGCAGGGCCGCTCTATGGACTCCTGGACAGGT